TATATATATATATTAGTTCTATAACCTTTTTGATTTTTGATTTAGTCTATGAATACTTTTTTCTTTATGTGATTTTAATACCTAAACTTTCATTATTATGTATGGGACATTTTATGTCGGTTATTTTGACATTTTATGTCACCTTGGGACTTGTTATAAATTTGGCCACATAGAATGTCTAGATATTTTATGACATACGAGACATAGAAAGTTCATTTTCTATGTCAGGTGATCAATGTCTGTAATAATATGATTACCAAATGTAATGATAATTACATTGACACCCACATTCTATAATGTATATAAGCACACACAACATAGAAAATGCACATTCTATGTCACGTGTGGTCATACCTGTCGAAACCATAAAAATTTCAATATAGCCCATAGATGGTTTGAACTTCTGTTTTGAAAATTTCATCGGTTAGGGAATGTCCAGACACTAGACTAATCCTTAATCAATGGTTTTTGAAAAAGTTCAAAGGAGTCACTAACAATATTTTACTCAAAATATCGGAAAAGAAAAGATTTTGAAATTACAATAAAGGTCCTCATAGCCAGAATTGAGTTAGGAAGTCGGTTACGTATAGGGAAGGTGTTAGGCACCCAACACTGTCCTAAATCGGTACCCTATGATGATATTAGCATAATAATAAATAATATTTTAAATATCTTATCCCCTTTTACTATTTAATTTTATTTACATGAAAAAAATACCTATTATTTACATGATTATTTATTGGCATATAAGAATTATAACTAAAATAAAAATAATAATAAATGAAGAAATGAATAAAATAATAAATAAAATAAATAAAAACAATAAATAAAAGAGAAAATTTTAAAACCTCCAAAGCAAGCATTTTATAAGGGAATCTTCCCAAATGCGTGCTAGGCACGTTTTGACAGCCCTGAATTTTTAAAAACCTAATTAAACTAATCAACAAAACAGAACAGGAATCAATCTTCATCTTCAGGTATGCCAAGGTGAGTCTTGACTAGCTTCACTTCATGATCAAGATCATCAAACCTGTCAAGAATACCAGAAAACAAAGAATCATGTCTTCGAGACATTTCCATCACCGCATCAAGTTTATTTAGCATGATTTTCTCAAAAGGTGAAAATGGTTTCAGCTCCGCTTCTTGCTCCCTGCCAGGTTCAGCTGTTGAGCTTAGAGGGGGTTGAAGCTTAAATAAGTTTTGATGATCACAAAATGTGTGTCAAGGGCAACAACAAACAACAACAACTTAGAAGCACAACAACAAAGTCAAAGAAAATGTCAAAGAAAATGCTATGTAATAGGAATTAGTGTATAAATTGTTTTGAATGGTTTTATGTGTTGTGTGTGCTTTGTGCATGAGAAAAATCTATATCTAAGCTAAGTAGAGAGTGTATGATGATGAGTTAAGAAGATTAGAAAGTTATTTTGAGACTTAAAACGAAGTTTTGAAAACTAACTCAAAATAATCGATTATCGTTAAATATAATCGATTATTCCAGCAACAGGCAGAATGGGATGTCTTGCTGCAATAATCGATTATTTGCCAAATAATCGATTATCCCATAAATAACTCTCCGGAATAATCGATTATCCAGCAAAATAATCGATTATATTGTTCTTGGTTGGTTT